ACTTTGTAGAGAAATTAAAAAATCAGGATGATCATTAGCTGCTGGAATTATACTCTGAAATGTTCAAATGCAGCAATTTACTTAGAATCAGATTATATAGTTTCTATTCTAAGAATTACGATCAAATCATCATTTGAAAACTTCAAATGGTAATATCTTGGAGGAAATAGTAAATTGGGTAATTTGTGACTGAAAGGAGAGTTTTTAAAAAGTAAATGGAATATACATGTTTCTGGAAATTTTTGTGCCAGATAATGCCAGTGTGTCATGGGCTACTATGTGTACATCTCCTGTCTTCTATAATCAACAGGAGGTTAGGGCCTGGTGGTTTTGTTAAACAACTTTACCAAATCTTATTACTCCTACTTGTAAATTCCTGCCCTTCGGTTAAGCAACAGTGGTCAAAAACCACTCAGGATCTCATCTGTGAGCCTCTGTGCCTTCAAGCTAAGCAAGTATTTATAACTGCAGCCTGAAGACTGGAGCAGGATGCTCCTCTGAACCCACCCACACTCGCCTGCAATAACACTTCCTTTCTAAATCACCTATCCTAACTCGTACCCGAACTCTTTCCTGTGTAGAAATCAAGAACTTTGGAGTCCCTTAGCACCGTTGTGCCTCATCAATACCAAGGCATGGGGAAAAAAACCCTCCCCCTTTCTGTTTCTTAAAAGAAAATTCTTCTCTGTCTGTGCTCTGGTCTCACAGAGGCTGTGGCATGAATGACATGTAGATCAACAGGAAAAACTACTCGACCAACCTCTAGAAATGAGGGTAGTCCTGAGCTGTCAGGGGCCAGCCCAGGGGTTGTCCAGCTTCTGCAGACTCAGGCCAGGGGCTCTATGCTGCTCCTCAAATGGTCTTGGTGACGGAGTGAGAGCAGGGGCAGTTGAAAGGGCATCTCCCTTAGGGTAAAGATGCAGTTTACTTCCCAACACGTGCACTGTGTAAGTTGAAGTCTCCCTGAAGAATAAGTATAGCTCAAATGCCTGGTGAAACTTTTTTTCCCCAGAAAAGGAGATGCTGGAGAAAAGCTAAGTAGGCGATCCAGCTCCACTACCAAGTGTTCTTAGCAAGGAGAGGTGCTGCCTGGGGGACTTGGGCAGACAGTGTCTTTGCCTTCTTAGACACCGCTGCATTTTACCAGGTAATTTAGGAAACTTATTCCAATCATAGTAATGTTAAAACAACCTTTCTGGATCCTCAAGTAAGAAACAGGAACTTGAGGGCTCTCCCTGGTGGCATAGCTGGTTAAAACACAGCTCTGCAATCTGGCCACAGCCGCTTCAGTGCTAGTTGGATCCCCACCCGGGAGCTGACCCACATGGCCCGGCAGACCTCTCCTGACCCGCCCGCTGCTCCCCTCAGGAGTGTATTTCAGTCAATCTGCCTGTTCTGCTCCCCACTCTGTCTCTGGTGAATCCTCTCACCGCTCCTGCACCTCTGGTCTGTACCCCAGTTCTGTATGCATACATAAATCTTAAATTTTCCTCCCCCAGCTCTACGATGATGCAGAAAGCCATACACATTTAGTAAAACCATACTTACATTTTGCCTTCTGATCTTTTCCCGAATGTACGCTATCCAGCCCCATCTTCTCTCCCGATGCTGGGCCCGTGGCAGCCCAGCAGCTCCCAGCAATCGCTCAATGGAAGCGCAAACCACCCACATGCTACCGCCGCTATTCACTTTCTGCACAGCATCAGCGTCCTTATAAAATAGACGTTGCACGAGATAATTTTACCCAGTGTAGGCTAAAGTAAGTGTTCTGGGCATGTTGACTGGCCAAGCTAAGCTCTGATGTCCAGTGAGTGAGGTGTATTAAATGCATTCTCAACTTACGGTAGCTTCAACTTACCACCAGTTTATCAGACATAAGATTCCCATCGTAAATCAAGGAAGATCTGTAAATGGATGTACTGGAATGACAAACACGGTAGATTAGAGAGGCCACAGGTTCTAGAAATTCAACCAACCTGTCATGTCATGTTACCACTGGATTTGCTTGTGCTTAGGACTGATTTTCAATATATGTGAAGGGGATGAATTAAGAACAATATTAAAATATGTTTAGATCCCAAATTTCTTAATTTACATGTGAAATTCATCATATTTTCACATTTCACCTTTTAAAATGATACAGTTAAAGTGTTCGCAATCAGCATAAACATCTTTTGCTGTAAAGAGATATAGAAATTAAAATTAAAAATATATAGTAGGTAAGCCTAAATATTCTTTGGGGTAAATTCAAAACAACTTTTGTAAGGAAAAATAAAAAGACTCTTTTTGGTGATTTTCAAGTTACTTTTTATTACTAACACAATTCTGATTTTTTAGTACTCATTTTCAAATACAGTCTTTTGAGATAAACAGTGGAAATATCATCCCAAATAGCAGGAGAACAGTCATTTGTTAATAGAAAAGTGTGGACAGTGTAGCTATTCCTACTTAGAAGTCAAATGTGAAAATCTACTTTCTCTTAAAAAACAAACATTTCTACAATTCCTCTCTACTTAAAGTAACTGAGCATACTTGGAATAAACGCTTACCCAAAGTTTCACTCCATTAGTACACAGGTATGCTTGAGTTGTAATGGGATAGCCCTTTCCTATATGAGTGAATGTGCCAAAACATGAGACATATTTAGCAATAAATGGTTAGTATTGTGTAAGTATAAAATTCAAAATACTAGGTAAAATTTAAATCATCTTAATAGTGGTTGTGTCACACACATGCAATGGTATGGTACTTAAACTCAAGATGGAGAGAGGTGAGTGTCCTATTGCTGACGTACGGTCCTTTTAGAGAACACTTTTAAATCCATGGTAAAACAGGAACTCTTTCTACCTAGTGAATGCTACTATTAGTTGAAAACAAAGTCTTCAAACAAGTGTGATATCTATTTACAGAGCAACAGCACTTCTCTAAAAAGATGCTATTAGGAATAAAAGACCAACTCAATTTATTTCGGGTGAGCAATAGTTATCAAAGTATTCTTACCCACTGGGATCAGATCTCAGTGAGGCAAGTATCCTCCCAATCGAACTTACTCCTTTTAACTGACCTGGAGGTAAACCCCCAGAAGACATTTATGATGATTTGATAGTGGCACTTTTGCTCTTCAAAAATATCTGCAAAGTATGGCTTCTTGAAACTGATTTCTGGTAAAATATGAGATATTTATTTCGAGTGACACGTGCAGCTTTCCTGCCATGCATTACCTTTTTCTTTTTCAAATAAACTCAGATAGCTTAACAAATAATTACGATCCAGTACATATAAAGGGGAAGATGGCTATTTTGTTATAATAATACCTATGCTTAAAATGTCTCCTCTTTGTTTTGAGTCTAGTGAAATTTTTAGTGAATAATATAATTTATGTGAGAGTCTGGAAATGGACTATATCAAATCCCAGGAGAAATGGAACGATTTCTAGCATTTACAAAAAAAAAACAAAAAAAAACAAAAAAAACCTACAAAATATAATTTGATTCCAAAGGGAGTCTTTTCTGGTAAACCTTCCATATCTAGAAACATTAGCATCTAGAATGAATTAAACCACTATAAAGGAGTTTGCAACAAAGACTATTTATTTGTTTTTTTGGTGGGGAACTCCTACAATTTCCTGATAATTATTATAGCAATCAGTATTTTTTAAGATTCTGTAGGAACTCCTACGAGTTATTATACTCTATTATTTGAGAGAATTAACCTATGTCAATTTAAGATGATTTAGCAATGTAATTTTAGCATATATTTCTGTCTTCTTTATAAAAAGCAGATCATTAACTGGGGAATTCTATTACTAATAGAACTTACTGTGATTTCTTCAACTTTTTATTCCTTTAGTTCCAAGATAAGACATCACTTGTACCCTGGGTTTTTTTTTTTTAAAGTTTACTCTGTAAAAGAGATCATTATAAATGATCAACTTAACAGTTATAAAAGTTAAATAAGTCAAAACAGTAACATTTAAAAACCTAAGAAAAATTTAAAATTAACCAAGATGCTTTTTGTTTTGAAATATTCTCAATACATGCTTATGATGGAAAATACTTTGAATTTCATTCAAAAGTGCTTTGTGGGGATGGCAGTAAGCAGCAGGTGTCTGACTAGCTCGTGGTCAGGCTAACAAGGCTTGGGACAAGGAATCACCCACACAGCTGTTTAACTTCCTTTGATCGTGCTAATGATGGCTTTCTAAAGAAACCGCACTTGTTGCAGAGGCTTCTGGGACATGTTTTTTTATAACTGAACAAATGGTCATGACCTACAGTTGCATGATAACAGACACATCCACCTACCACGTCCTTAAATCCCTGGATGGTGTTTTCTTTATGTCAGCTCTCACTCCATGTAACACATAGCACAAAACCTGCTGCCCAGCAATTTCTTTTGCACCTTTAATAATACAGGTAATGACACCAATGACGTCAGACACTTCTAAGCTTAATCTCATCTGTACAAGATGAGACAAAAATGAATAAAGCATCAAAGGGCATTTTATTACTGAGAGGCTCTCAGATTATCAGAGTTGTTAAGGATATGATATTAGATAATCTGATCTCATTTGACAGATGAAGACTAGGACCCAGAGTCTATTCCTGTCTCAGGCTGATGGCTTTAAAAAGATTAGAAATAAACCCTATACCTAAACCTTTCTACTCCCCACACATTACATCCTTAACCCCAAAAGTCTTTTGGAAATGTAGAATTATCTTACTCACAGATATTGATTTCTTTATGAGAACACCTACATTTCAATTTTAAAAGACAAACCTAAATTTTATCAGATCTTTTAAGATGCTTCAAAAATACTTTAGATAACACCAACAAACTCCTTTTCATATAATTATTACTCACTGGCATGTTCCCACTGCACATGTCTCCAATGTTATATTACTTGCTGTTACTGTCAATGACAATCAGCATGTCATAATGCATCGATTCTTTAAGACACATAGGAAAAAATACTTGATGTCCTTTTAACTGAGCAGAGTTTAGTTTCCTAGGTATCTTACATGTAAGTGGAATCCAAGTTGTGAATTACATATAAGTACAAGAACATCAATGCAAAAAATGGATGATTTTCTTCCAGGACATTTTCTATGTGTCAGCAGAAAAGGCAGTGAATCACACTCACATGTGCACACACACGTACACACACACACAGAAGCTCAAATGTATGTGATCTCTGAGATAATGCCAGGATCAAAAGTGAATCTAAATCTACCGGAAATGTCAAAATTCTTCCAAAGAAATACTTTTTAAAAAAATTATAACTAAGGTGGCACACAACCATTTCTAACTTTCATGTTTGGCGTCTCCATCCCCTTGGGTGTGGGTTATAGCTGCAACTGGCTACTGGGACACAGTAGTCAGACCTGGTCTCCAGGGACATTACTTCAGAATCATTTCTAGAAGGCTGCCTATAATATGCATGTGGAAAGTGCGAACCATACTGGATGTCAGTGTGCACACTACTAACAGGAAGGGCAGCCACATTACACTCTCGCCTTCCAAATGAACCCACACTGGCTTTCTGAGCTTCAGAAACATGGGGAAGTCTCTCATTCCAATTCTCGGGGGGCCCTGGAAGCACCTTCCTCCGAGCTGCTGAAACCACATTTGCCACAATAGATTCCTGGATGTTTCTGGGTCTAAAGGCATCATCCACCAGACCAAGAGGAGATTTTGCTGCTGCTTCCCAAGGAGTTAGTCTCTTGTTTCCTCTCTCTAGAGGCCCATCTGTTGGTTGGCTAGAGTAGCTGTAAGCAGGCTGGAAGATCCAAGGAGCCGTGGTAGAGAAGGTAGGTGGGACTGGTCTTCCAGGAAGTGAAAGGGAGCGTCCACTCTCCTAGAAATAATGGAAGTGTTAATACACCTCAGTCATTTGGTTTGTGCTGACTGACAACTGATACAAAACAATTATTGCATTACTATCAAACACTGACGATTTAATCCCAAAGGCAGGACAGTCTGCCTCTGCCTGGCATTACGTCAGCACTGCCTGGGACGTGGCTCTCCCTTGGACCTGCTCTCCCTGTCTGAACACATAGCTCCAATTGCTACCATCTCTCTTAGGCATGACGACCCCAGCAAGGGCCCTATCAATCACCAGGAGTCACCCTGACTTCCACCAGCCCTGCACATGCATCTCAACTCCCAGCCCACCCTCACGATCGCCCTCCTTCCTGGTATAAAGTAAATAAAAAATATAGATACCCCCAAACAGACCATACATACTGAGTGCTTTACATTTCCCAAAGGACTTTTAACCTGTTTTCTTATTTTGGTTCCTTGAGTCTACCAAAAACAAACAAGATCTACTTAGATGTATTTAACTATTGGTCTGATGGAGCAGAGGGCTTTCCCCTCTCAAAATGTACTTATATATTTGGAGTGGTCACGTGAGTCTGCATTTCCTAAGTGTGGGGTATGGCCTAAATCTTGGCTAGAAACATTCCCGTCACTTGTATGATTTACTTTCTTTCATGTACATCTAATTTCTCACTTCTTTTTGTGTCCCTGTAACATTCCCCTGTGGATGCTTGGTCTGTCTAATAAGCACAAGTTCCATGTTTTCTTCTTATGTATCTGCTATAGTTCCAAAACCCTGAAGACTGGCTCTCAATATTACTTACACCTTTCTATCCACATGAAACTCTCTTAGACAAACTCCTAGCAAAGAGCAGCAAAGATACACCTATGGGAAATAAGGCAGCTTTGAATGTATTGTAACAAACACTGTGTTTCTTGAACAAAAAGCTAGCTATGCACAGATTTCATAAACAGTTTCAACAGCTCTTTTCTTTGTTAATCAAATTTTAAAATTTAAAATAAACAGCAACATTGCATTTGGATGAAAATATCCCAGATCAAGTGTTTGGTGTTTTTGTTTTTTTATCAGGGATGGAAAGAGGGTAGGCAGTTTGCTCTTGGTAGAAAAAGGATAATGGCTCTTGTTTCAATCCTTTTAGTAATTAAAACTTCAGTTATGATGTTTGAATTCAAGCAAAAACTTGTTTTCATTAATACCCTACTCTTCATCAAGATCTAGTAATAAATCCTTGTCACTGTTAGTCAGGAAGGAGTGAAATGCCTGACCTTCAGTCACTGTTTAAGAACTTGGGTCCTCTTTCACATCATTTATTTTTTGGTTTTATTCATTTAATAGACATTTTACTGAAAACCTGATATTTCCAAAAACTCTATAGGCTGGCCCTCCCTGGTGGCACAGCTGGTTAAGGCACAGCACTGGGAAGCTGAAGCTACTTCCGCATGAGTTTGATTCCTGCCTGCCCCGGAGGTGACCACATGGAGCTGCAGACCTCTCCTGACCCGCCCGCTGCTCCCCTCAGCAGTGTACTTCGTAGATCTGCCTGTTCTGCTTCCCACTCTGTCTCTGATGAAGCTTCTCGCTGCCCCTGGGTCTCTGGCCTGTACCCCAGTTCTGTAAGCACAAATAAATAAATCTTTTAAAAAAACAAAAACAAAAAACAAAAAACAAACAAAAAAAACCCAAAACTCTGTGGGCTAAAGATACAAAGTTCATCCCCTCAAGGGCCATACAGTCCAGTACCATTGTCAACTCTGCATTTTAATTTAAGACTCAATGAAGAGAAGATTTTTTTGCCTGTCTTGACAAGTGTGATAGGCAGAAGTACTGTCACTCTGCCCAACACAGAAATTTAGCACTAGTCTCAGTAGTAAGCACTGACATTGCCCTTTCATCCTTCTCTTTGGAAGAGAGAGCATAACACTGGTCTACAGAGTCTTTGGAATCCCCTAAAATGAGGGTGTCTTCCAACAGATACAGCATCTCAAGGGGCTGCTTCGGTCAACTTTTTAAAATACAGACTTGAAGGGATGAGAAAAATCTCTAAAATAAATCTCTAAAACAGCAGAGATTTAAAGGGATAAAGAGACCTAAGACAAAAGAAATGTTGGGGCGCTTTGATTATACACACAGGTGGCAAATGAAAGGAATAATTATCAATATATTTGGAAATATTAAGTACAATGTGAATATATGCCGTTGGTTACAGGACTTCCTGAATAGTGAAAGAAAGAGATACACTTTTTTCTTGTCTTTTTACCATTCATTTAGCTTGCAACCTTCAAAAGAATTGAAATGTAGGAGAAATTAAAACATTCAAACTGTTGATTAATATTCTAATAACAAAAAGATCAGGATTTTTTTTTTCAGCTGAGTTATAAAAGTAATTTAGTAGATCTCCCCTTTGGCCATACTCTGTTGGAAAGACATATGGAGGTTTCTGAAAAGGCTAAAAATAGAGCTTCCATATGACCCAGCAATCCCACTCCACACAAAAACACTGATTCAAAAGGACACCTTCACCCCCATATTTATTGCTACTGTATTTACAATAGAAAAGCTGTGGAATCAACCCAAGTGTCCAAAAGTAGAAGACTGGATTAAAAAGATGTGGTACATATACACAATAGAATATTATTCAGTAATCAAAAAGATAAATGCATGCCTTTTGCAGCAACATGGATGGAGCAGGAAGGGATCAAGCTTAGTGAATAAGCCAGAATGAAAAAGAAAAATACTGGATGGTTTCACTCATAGCAGGAGCATAAGGGATCAGGGGGGAAAAAAAGAGAGAGAGAGAGAGAAACAAACAAAGATAATAGAGTAAAAATGAAAACAATGAACAACTACAAACCAGAGACATTTTATGGGGGTAGAAGGGAGAATGGGATAGGAACTGGGGTGGGAAGAGTGCACTGGACTGTGGTGATGGGACACAGGTAAACTGGTGGTGGGAAGGCCATGGGGATTACAACTGAGGTGAAAAACACACAAAATGAAGAACGATGTAAAAAAATTATATGTATAGATACACACACACACACACACACATGTAATTAATATAATGTAAGGGGAGACAGTAAAACTCTGAAGTATAATATCATAAGGGAAGTCAAAATTTTCTCAAGAGAATTTAAAAATAGCATTCACATCTGTACAAATCTCACATAGAATCCAGTACGCCAAATGCTGTAGCAGTGGGGAATGGGGTCAAAAACAGTGGGGGGAGGGAAGTGTACTGGACTATGGTGATGGCACATGGGTGATGTGGTGATGAGAAATTCAAAGGGATTGCAACTGAGATGGAAAAAGGCACAAAATGATGTAAAAGTAAAATATTATTTGAAAAAAAAAATTTCACTCCCAAGTGCATTTCACTCTCAACTTAGGGTGACATCCGCTCTCCATTCCCGATTGAGCCTAGTAGCAGAACCATCACCTTCCCACAGGGAAGGAGTTAATTCTGTCTTTTTTACTCTTCCCTCCCTCCCTCTTCCTTCCCCAAGTTGCTGTGACTTCAACTTTCCCAGAGTCAGAAAGCAAGGATGAAGGAGAAAAGTAGCAGAATTAAACTTTTACTCCATTTTATAACATTATACCCTGGGGTTTCACTCTGGAATAAGACAGGCCACAGAAAGGAAATTTTCAAACACATTTGAGGACTCCCAGCTCTGGGGCCATCTTGCTTGCAGACCTGGATTGATGCCACTTGATTTCTGTACCAGAGGGTGACTTGTACCTCATTGTGCATCCCCTAGGAAGCTGTCCAATCTACAGGTTGAGCTCCCGTGGTACCCGTGAGAGGCTCCAAAACAACACCATGCTATTCTCCCTTATCTAGCACAAAGTCTAAGAAACCACTAAGAACTCTTCTCTCACAAGGCTGGAGGTGAAGGAATGGGCCTCACCTCTTTATTCCAAACACACACACTGAGCAAATGCTTTCTATTAGATTCTCTCTGAAGTCTGTATTTTGATCTGGAATCTCACACCAATTAAGTATCTCTTATATTTGGAGACCTTAGAAGACAACTACTTTAATATCTTGTTAGGTAACATTATCATTTTCAGAACAGAAAGCTTTCATTTTTCTTTTTTAAAGAAAATAGAACACATTTTTTCCCTACTAATTAATTTTAGGTAATGTCTCTAGTAACTTTAAAGTCTTAAGAGGTGAAACCTATCCCTCACAGCAGGCAGAGGAAATCTTGGTTGATCCTTAGCCTCAGGTGGATGAGAACTTCTTCCTTACATTGAGATAAACCTTTCCTCAGTGACTCTGTTAGCACAGAACACAATACAACCGTTTTCACGTCCACACCACCAGTGCCTTACACGTTCCCAGTTACATTTACCTTCTTTGAATTCTTCCTCCGTTCTGCTGCTACCCTGTCTTTTTCAAACTAAGGAACAATAACATCTAGAATTATTATATCTCACATTTTCTGGATCCTTTGCCTTCCAGCTTGTTAGGTAAGGTGAATGCAGGTCAAATATTTTGATCTTAAGTAGACGGGTGGACATGAACACTAACAACCCATGAATACAGCATTCAAAACGGCCACATCACCTGGCAGCTGTCACAGCTAACGGTGACACAGAACATCACTCCATGTGTGCTCGGAGCATCGGATCCCTGAAATGCTCAATCCACCAGACCATGGGCCAATCTTGAGTCATTACAAAACAAAACAAGCAATTAGTGCCATAAATGCTCCCACTGAATCATAGGTCACCGGGTGGCTTAGATTCCTACCAAAATGCTAACTATGAAGGAGGGATTTTCCTGCTGCTGCCTTTAAACAGCAAAGACTAATAGATCACTATTACTGGGTGTCAAGTGGCCATGGCTAATCGCTTTACGTAGAGGATTGCATATAATCCTCAATCTGACCAATGAAGTAAGCACTATGATTATTTCCATTTTCCACACGAGGACAGAAAGCTTTACAAAGGGTAAGTTTTCCCACAGCCTACAACCAGTAAGGGCTGGAGTGGGGGTAGTTAAACTCAAGTAG